GTATATATTGACTGATGGCGTAAAGGTAGGATGTGTCCAACATCGACTCCTGATGTGATGAGTGAGACAGTGAGTGATGGATGTTGGTTTATATTGACTGATGACGTGAAGGTAGGATGTGTCCAACATCGACTCCTGATGTGATGAGTGAGACAGTGAGTGATGGATGTGGGTTTATATTGACTGATGACGTGAAGGTAGGATGTGTCCAACATCGACTCCTGATGTAATGAGTGAGACAGTGAGTGATGGATGTGGGTTTATATTGACTGATGACATGAAGGTAGGATGGGTTCAACATCGACTCCTGATGTGATGATTGAGAGAGTGAGTGATGGATGTTGGTATATATTGGCCGATGACGTGAAGGTAGGATGTATTCAACATCGACTCCTGTTGTGACGAATGTGAGAATTAGTTGTATGTGTTGCACATTAAGACAGTATAGAATCCTCTGTAGTTTAAGCCATATTATATCAATGATTGAAGGAGGATACCTGATGGATTTCGTGTTTTATTTGACCAATATTACAAAAAGCAAATGTCACGTCAAAAATATATACACAGTTAAAGCAGTACCTGCTCGTGTTGCACAGAAGCAGAGGACGTAATTGAAGGTTGTCAAATAACTGGAACTGTTACACAATGTGTCATGAAATACTAGCAACACCACGATGTTAGTGGCATTATTACAGTACCAGGTCACTTTGTACAAAACATATGTTTGGTGGGACAACTTACATAGGGTGTAACAGAATATACAATGTAACAGGGTATATAGTATGTAACAGGGTATATACAATGTAACAGGGTATATAGTATGTAACAGGGCATATACAATGTAACAGGGTATATAGTATGTAACAGGGTATATACAATGTAACAGGGTATATAGTATGTAACAGGCTATACAACATAACACGTGATACAATGTGACAGGATAAACAATGTAACAAGATATACAATATGACACTAGACATACAATGTAACACTAGATATACAATATGACACAAACTATACAAGGTAACACAAGATATACTATGTAATACTGGATATACAATGTAACACAAGATATATACATAACCACCTTTCTGTGTACCCCAAAATGCTATGATACAAAGCATGAGTGAGTGAGTTGGGTTAACGCGCGTTTAACAGTTTCATCAGGCGTGTCAGCTTCACGTTTGAGGGAAGCCCGAAAGTGATGCAGGTCTCCGAAGTTTACCAGTTCGGCGAAACCCACGAGCACGGGTATGCTGCTGACAAACCTAGGAACATAATCGGGGCGAACCGGGATTCGAACACACAATCATAGGTTTCTGGTGTGCTCAGGGGACGCAACTCTGCACAGCGAATAGCGGCGTCTCAGACAACTTGGCCACCCGTGCCCGCTGTGATACAGAGGAAGTGATTGAAGGTTTTCAAACAACCAGAAGTGTTACACAATATGTCATGAAATACTGGAAAAAAAGTGTCATCATTACAGTAAAGGGGGTCACTTTGTACAACTTACATAGCGTGTAACGGGATATATACTGTGTAACACGTGATGTACAATGTGACACACGACATACAAAGTAACACTGGATATACAATATTACACGTGATGTACAATGTGACACAAGACATACAAAGTAACACTGGATATACAATATAACACGTGATATACAATGTGACACAAGATATACACAGTGACACTGGATATACAATATAACATTAGATATACAATGTAACAAAAAATATACAAAGTAACACTGGATATACAATATAACATTAGATATACAATGTAACAAAAGATATACAAAGTAAAACGGGATGTATACTTCTTGTCATGTGTGGAAATGTACAGTCACCTCCACGTTTATCCAGGTGTATGATTCATGTGGGTTGAATTGCAGGACTCCGTACTGGTTAGATACAGTTACTGCCAACAGAGGATTCAAATATTCAATATTTTAGTGTATTTATCAAAGAAGTAAAGTTTGGTTTTCATTCTTGTAGTACATGTATGGAATCAAGTCAGAAAAACGCAGCTCCTACAGAAAAGCATGCATTCCATGCAAAAGTTGACTTTTATGCAAGCTCCATGCATTTCACAACCCAAGAATGGGTATAAAAACGTGTGTTAACGGGATTCCATATGCATTGTTTAGCATCCTACTGACAACAGCCACTCAGAAAAACAACAAAATTACGCAATTATTCAACATTACGCCTGCGAGCCTTTGATATACTTGAAACAGGATCGAGTCAACGTGATGTTGCAAGACAATTTAACGTCCACAGAAACACCATTTGGTGTTTATGGCATCTTTGGCAACAGACGAATGCGGTCAGAGACCATCCTCGGAGTGGCAGGCCACGCGCAACCAATAATCGTCAAGCCATCTGGATTCAAACAACACACCTACGAAATCGATTCCAGCCAGCAACAGTGACTACAAGAAGCATCCCTGGCCTTCGACGAATATCTTCACAAAACGTACGTCGCCGCCTCAGATGTGCAGTAATTGTCGCCAGAAGACCCGCCAGACGTACCATTTTGACAGGAAACCACCTTCAAGCACATCTACAGTGGTGCAGACAGCGTTTACGCTGGACGGCCATGCAGTGGGGACAAGTCCTATTCACTGACGATTCTCGTTTTCACCTAAGCCACAGCGTTTGACGAATTCGAGTGTACCAACGTCGAAGTGAACGTTACGTCAATCATTGTGCCATGGAAGAAGACCGGTTCGGGGGCGGCAGCATTATGGTATTGGGTGGGATTACAGCAAGACAGAGGACCGTTTGATAGTGGTAGAGGGAAATCTCAATGAACAGCGCTACTGCGACGAGATCATCGGCCCTATTGTTCTACTGTTTTTGCGTCGTCAGGGTCCAGGCATTACCTTTCAACATGACAACGCCCGGCCTCATATTGCTCGACTTGTTCAGGATTCTCTTTAACAAAACAACTTGAATGTCATTCCCCTTGCCGGCTCGCTCCCCTGATCTCTCACATGTGGGATGAGATGGATCGGCGCCTTCGACGTCAACCACCTGTTCCACAGACACTGTAGGAACTTCGAAACATCCTCCAGCAGATATGAACAGATATCCCACAGGACTTTGTGCGACGCCTGGTCCATTCCATGACACGAAGGTGTGTTGCTTGAATCGCAACCACAGGTGGACACACACGCTATTGATTTGTAAATTGACATTTTGGCATGTTCATGTTTTTTATATGAAATCACGCGTTTTCTGAAGTCAGTATGGCAAATTAAACCATTTGAACACTTTCAGGAGTCTTTTAACTGTTTTAAATCGAAATTGTTTCGGATTTAGTAAAAATGATACTTTGCATTAAATCATATTCAATGTCACAGGTACTTTTGTTATATATATTCCCAATCAAACCAGTCCATAGTAACGTAGCTCACCAAAGATGGACACATGACACAAGTCGCTGTCAGCTTTGACATTTTAATATTTCCTTCATAAATACTGAGGACTTGAAACTAGTACTAATTTCTATTGATTGCCGGAAAATATGATTGCATCAAAAACAAAAGAAAACAGATGTTTTCTGAACCAGGACATCCATTTCCAGAGAAAATAAGACCTAATAAAAGTGCAAAGGTGAATGTAAGGTAAACAATTTGAATACAAAATTAATATGTACGTAACACCACAAAAAATCGGACATGCATTTTGAGAGAATTTAGGTGCAGAGTCAAAGAACAAATATCTAAATATACTCACACGCAAAAGAAACGCAAGTGGCTTTAAGCAAATAGGTAACAGACACTGAACCATACATTGATACGAGTTTTAGCATGTAGTTAAGCCTGATGGTGTTATCAATGTTTTTGGATGCATTTTGGAAGCCCCGAGTAAAAACGCAACAAAAAAACGAATCGCCAAAACACACCATTTCAATGAAGATGTGGGTATCATGCACCCATTTCTCGCGAAATCGAAAATGCACGAACTGTCACGATCTGTATTGGGTATAAAACTGTGGCCGATTTTGGACATTCCACTCCTTGGTTAACAATGCCACGCCTATCTCAAATTCAGAGAAACCAGCTATCGGACGTTTGGAAGCTGGAGAGTCTGTCCAAGATGTTGCCCGTCATTTAAACGTTACCATAACCACAATTTACCATCTCCTGCATCGATGCAATGCTACACAGACAACAGATGACCTTCCTCGGAGCGGTCGTCCTAGGGTCACCACACGTCGACGAGATCGGCAGATTACCCATCAACACCACCGACATCCGTTCCTAACTGCAAGTGAAAGAACTGGACAGACCATAGGAACACATAATCGACACATTAGCCGGGACACTGTGATCCGACGTCTCCGTTCCAACAACCTCAGATGTCGCCGACGAGCTTTCTGAATGTTGGTCAAGGTCGGGGACACGGCGTCACTGCTCAGCGGTATATCGACCTAGTGATCAGACCCCACGTTGTTCCATTTTTTGCACAACATCAACAACACATTTTCCAGCAGGACAACGCTCGTCCCCATGTTGCCAGAGCTACCATGGCCATTCTGCAACAAAACAGCATCCGTGTTCTACCGTGGCCAGCCCTCAGCCCTGATCTGAACCCCATCGAACACTTGTGGGATGAGGTTCAAAGGCGTCTGCACAATGTACGCCCAGTCCCTACAACTGTCGATGAACTACGCACAGCTACTCTGGAAGTGTGCAGGAGGATCCCTAGGGCCTTCACAAATCGTCTGATCCACTCAATGTACAGGAGATGTGTGGCAATGATCAATGCTAATGGGGGCCACACCAGGTATTGACTGAACTTTTGGGTATTGACCCGAAACTGTGTAAGCCCTTAACATTTAAAAAAAAATATATGTCATCTGCCTTTGAATCCCTTAAACTGTCTTCAGTAAATTTTTTTGGCAATCTTGCCCACTTATTATTTCTTCTCTTTACTGTTGAAAATAAATAACATGTATACTGCATACTCGACTTGCGTTTCTTTTGCGTGTGAGTATATATTTTGTTACAAAAAAGGAACATATATGAGAGTCCCACTACTATCTACATATGTGTTGCATCATATATCATACTTTACACAAACAAATGGCTGAATAGTGGTCATCAATACACTTGATAAAATGTGGTTCCTCCAGAGCAAAGTAAGGTGTCGCCGCTGTGGCACCATCCATGTTAAGTTTTGTCTTTTTGAGGAGTTGATGTTTGCAGAACCTGTGCGACATTGGAGAGCATTATTGAGCAAGGTCGAAATACAAAAGGTCAAATAATGGTCCAAATTTCATTTTCATGGACAAAGTTGACCACAAGAGGTTTTCTTCATTATGGTCAGCATGGGGACCGGATGACATCCCTTTGGACAAATTGGTGAGAACAAGCATGTCAAGTGTCAGGGCAGAGGTGGCTTTCACGGACAAGATGGACACACTTCTCACACTGCGCCAAATTGCCTCAGAAACTTAACCAACGAATGGTTCATTTTGTTTTTTGCGATATCAAGTGATGTACCGGCACAACATGTACTGTTGATGTCAACTATGTTATGAGAGACAATGTACTCTACAATCTGAACATTGCCTGCATCACAAGCCGCATGAAGGATGTTGTCAACATACTGATCCTTCACTGTCAGGTCACACCCTTTACTCACAAGTAGGTCAAACACTGCCTTCTGTCCCTTTAACACTGCCAGCATCACTGGTGTTCTCCTCTCATAACCTGCACTGTTGATGTCAACTATGTTATGAGAGACAATGTACTCTACAATCTCTACATTGCCTCCTTCACAAGCCTTATGAAGGATGTTGTCACCATCCTTATCCTTCACTGTCAGGTCACATCCTTTACTCACAAGTAGGTCAAACACTGCCTTGTGTCCCATCAACGCTGCCCTCATCACTGGTGTTCTGCGCACATCATCTGTGCTGTTGATGTCAACTATGTTATGAGAGACAATGTATTCTACAATCTCTACATTGCCTCTCTTACAAGCCCTATGGAGGATGTTGTCACCATCCTTATCCTTCACTGTCAGGTCACATCCTTTACTCACAAGTAGGTCAAACACTGCCTTGTGTCCCTTCAACTCTGCCAGCATCACTGGCGTTCTGCGCATATTACCTGCACTGTTGATGTCAACTATGTTATGACAGACAATGTATTCTACAATCTCTACATTGCCTCCATTACAAGCCGCATGAAGGATGTTGTCACCATCCTCATCCTGCACTGTCAGGTCACATCTTTTACGCACAAGTAGGTCAAACACTGCCTTGTGACCCTTCAACACTGCAAGCATCACTGGTGTTCTGCCCACATCATCTGCACTGTTGATGTCAACTATGTTATGAGAGACAATGTACTTTACAATCTCTACATTGCCTCCCTTCCAAGCCGCATGAAGGATGTTGTCACCATACGTATCCTTCACTGTCAGGTCACAACCTTTACTCACAAGTAGGTCAAACACTGCCTTGTGACCCTTCAACACTGCAAGCATCACTGGTGTTCTGCCCACATCATCTGCACTGTTGATGTCAACTATGTTATGAGAGACAATGTATTCTACAATCTGTACATTGCCTCCCTCACAAGCCACATAAAGGATGTTGTCACCATACTCATCTTTCACTGTCAGGTCACATCCTTTATTCACAAGTAGGTCAAACATTGCCTTGTGTCCCTTCAGCGCTGCACTCATCACTGGTGTTCTGTCATGACCTGTACTGTTGATGTCAACTTTGTTATGAGAGACAATGTATTCTACAATCTGCACATTGCCTCCCTCACAAGCCGCATGAAGGATGTTGTCATCATACTTAGTCTTAACTGTCAGATCACATCCTTTGCTCACAAGTAGGCCAAACACTGCCTTGTGCCCCCCCAACGCTGCCCTCATCACTGGTGTTTCTTGAGATATATTTATCCCATTGAAGTCAACTTTGTTTTGTGCAACAATAGATTCTACTATATCTAAATCTCCTCCCGTGCAGGCGAAATGAAGGATGCTGTTTTGTTTGTCATCCTTTACAGAGAGATCACATCCTTTACTCATCAGCGTGAACATGTCAGCATCCCCTCTCTCCGCTGCCCACATTGCTGCTGTTTTCCCACGTTTGTCCTGTACAAAGTCAACTCGTTTCTTCACAGACAAAACACACTCAGCCAGCTGGAGATTCCCTGTCTGAGCTGCAACAAGTACCACATCATTCCCATCATAGTCCTGTCTGTGTACATCAGCTCCAGCAACAATCAGATGCTGACAGATGTCTGTGTGTCCACTGTACGCTGCCACCAACAGGGGTGTTCTCCTGTCTCTGTTCACAGCATTTATGTCAAACATCCCTGATGACAGAAGATGCTCCACTATAGCCTGGTTACCTCCCTTGGATGCCAGATGTAGCAGTGTGTTCTTGTCAGTGTCTACAAGTAACAGATCTCCCGCTGTATTAAACAATGTGTCAAAAATGTGTTTATGTCCTCTCTCTACACAATACGACACAGGTGTTTTATTATAACTGTCTGTCTCGTTTACATCCTGATACACCACATCCTGTACAATACCCAAGTTTCCCCCTTGACTGGCGTAGTGGAGAACTCCACGTGTCTTTGTGTCCTTTATTGACAATTTACACTGTTTTTTAGTTAGAAACTCAAACATGATTCTGTGTCCTGCAGCTGCTGCTAACATCACTGGAGTCCTCCCGCTGGCATCCCTCGTGTTGATGTCAATCTTTCCCTTTGACAGGAGGAACTCTGCCAGCTCCACGTTCCCTGCTTCTGCTGCTGTGTGAAGCAGACTCAGACCACTCACATCCACAAGTAACATGCTCGATCCTTTCTCCTCTAGGTGTGATTTCAATTTTGAGATATAATGTTTCTTGTGTGTCAACATGAACCTATTCAGGCCATGTCCTCTTGCTCGTAGAAACTGTGACATGTTCAGGCAGTCACCAAAATGTCCATGAGAGAGTGTTTCAGACATGCTGAAGTCCACCGGAGAGATGTGACAGTTCTTTGACAAAAGTAACTGAAACACATCTCTGTGGCCTCTGCATGCTGCAATCATCAAAGGTGTCTTTCCATAATGGCCTCTGTGGTTGATGTCAAACAGCTTACAGGATATCAGATGTTTGACAATCTGGACACTGCCTCCCTGACATGCAAGATGTAGGATAGTATCACCGTTATCATCAACACCAGTCAGGTCACACTTCCTTTCATCTGCCAGATACTCATACAACTGACCATGACCTTTCAGTGCAGCCATCATGACAGGTGTTCTCAAGTCCTGTCCTGGCAGATTCTTCCAGACCTCCATGTGGGGAAGCAGTAACTTGGCAACATCTGTATATCCCCTCAATCAGGCCTCAATGAGATGGAGGGCAGAATGTCCGACTTTGTTTTTGATCAGACACTCTGCCTCATGTTTCAGTAAGATGTTGACCATGTTGGCATTATTTCTGCCCACAGACATCATAAGAAGAGAGTTTCCATCATCATCTGTATAGTTTGGTGTATAGGTGATATCTCCCCTCTGTAGACCAAGCAGCTGCTGCCGTAGATACAGGAAGGACTTGGTGTCATGTAGTCTGATACAACAAGCTAGTTCTTCACTGACATGTACCTGTGACAGTTCCTGTTTCTGTAACACCTTCTGACACAGGTAATCGTTGCGAGACTGTAGGACCCAGTACAAGAAGCTCCTTGAACCCATGGACGAATCAGCTGTATCCTGTGATTGTAGAACATCCATAAAACTGTCCTCGAGCTGTGTCAGGAACCTGTCTATGTTGTCCTCACTGCTAAGAACTGGGTGACTGAATGTGTGTCTGAACTTCCCTCTCCTTGTGTCTTCTACCAGCTTTGTCAGTAACATGTCTGTGTTGTGACTGGAGATGAAGATGGTTTTATAAGGTATGTCTGGGAGAGATTTCTTGTTGCCAGTCTCACATATAACTTTGCTGTTTTTCCAGAGAACTCCAGGAAACTTGTTGTCAACAACAAACACACAGGCGTCATATATGACAGGGTCTGTGAAACTAATATTTTTGCCAGACTGACATAGATAGGTGGCGCACAATGTGTGTAACATGTCAGGAAGATTATCTGTTCTTAATTCGGGAAAGAGAGACTGATCCTCTCTCACACCATAGTCACTTTCATACTTATACCGATAGCTGTCTTTCAATTTGTTGCCCGAAACCAAGATATATATTACTGCAGCAGAATAATCAACAATTCTAAGTAATCTTTCTATTTCTTTACTGAAATGTGAGTGAGGAGATGCGAAAAATGTTATGGGATCTGTGGTAGGTCTGTGTTGAGAGAAGTGTTTGATGACCTTGGGGAAACCGACATATGAAGGAAGGTTAGCTATGATCTCCTCCCGTGTGTCCGATGGAATGTCTGTCTGCATCTGCAGCATCTGGGAATATTCCTGCTTTGTTCTGTCCCAGTTCTGTCTTCCTATCTGTGTTATGTCCGTCTTTCGATTGAAGGTATCTCGTTTGCAGGTCAGGCATATAATAAGAACACAAACAAGCTTGTTGGTATAAGTTTTCTTGCGTATCTCACTGACAAAGTTTGAATATACCCAGTGCTCTGGCATGTCATCAATCACCACCAGTGTAGGTTTAGTTGCCTGGAATACATCCATGTTGAAGTGCTCCCATCTGCTGTAGAAGACTGTGTTGTATCCTTGTTGCTGGTAGTCACAACACAGCATGTGTCCTATTGTGGTCTTACCTTCCCCAGGACCACCAGTCAGCATCACCAGGTTGTGTTGTTGTAGCTGGTCTCGGACTTCCTGGTAGGCAGCTGTCTTCACAAATAATCTCTTCCAATCTGAAACATATGGCTCATTTGTCAAAAGCTGAAGACAAAAAATAACATATACACATACTCGCACTGATACAACCACAGAATACATGAAGTAACATACAGAGTACATGAAGTAAAATAACATACAGAGACTGTATCTACTCATAACAGCAAAACTGCAGAATAAACACTTTTGAAATCCAAAGTGTAACAGATAATTTATTGTCCTGTTGCTTATCATGATTATTCCCTTCATTCATTACTTTGGTGACGAGTATTGATTAAGCATTCCATATCTAACATCCAGCACCCATGCATGCTTCGAAACGAAACCTTTTGGAAAATGGATCACGTGTCAAAAGAAAAAAATAACATTTACTTTTTATTCTTGTAATGATATAGCCGAAGAATAACCACTTTTGAAATCAACCTTAATGATTCTGTGACGGGGATTAATTAAACATTCCAGATCTAACACGCATCATCAACGCTGGAAAATATGTGTTACAACTAAAACAATATCTTTTAAAAGGGAAAGTGTATTGTTGAGGTTGAAGACACCTATTAACACTACTGTTTGTAAATCAGATATGGAGAGTCAAATTCTACCTGTGAGTTTTCTTGATGGCCTTTGGTGCTGAGTCATCGTCCTGAATATGTCAACCATCTTCCCATCTCTGGAAGTCAAGGACTGATGTACAGACACATGCGCTGCAGTTTTGTGAAGTTGCTGGATCCTGGACAGGAAGTTACCAGAACATTTGTATATATCTGGCGATATGACGCCATGCACGGGACGAAAGTTTGTGTAAGTTCTGCTCCTGACAGCGACAGTCAGAGCCCGGGCCTGTGTGGAGTTGTAAAAAACAGCGTCAGGCTCATCTCTGGAAACAAACGTCAGGACGAGAACCACTCCGTCTGTTGTAAAGATGTAGGCGTCGCAGATGACGCTGTGTGGAGCTGGCACCTCCACCTCTGGCTCCAGGAACGTCAGCGCAGGGGAGTTGATGTAGACGAAGTTTAAATTAGGTATGGATTTGACGGATGTTAAAATATCCGGCCTTACAAATAGCTTCACGTCTATTGGATGAATGCAGTCTGCAACTGTAACACAGACAATGCAATGAAATAATGTTGACATTTTTCATCAGGTCACTTCATTTACACCTGATTTCAGTTGTGCAATAATCGCAGACAAGCTGTTGTAATACTATTGTAATAACATTATCTATCACCTGAAGCTGTCTACCGCAGGATATATCACTTGGGTCTCCTAGGAAATATTGCTATTATGACATTGCATCATAGTGCTCAGCAGATCAATGTGACGTCATTGGTTGCTCTGATCTCACAACGAAATGACATCACCAATCGTTCTGCTACTGAACTGGTTAGCTGTAATTTTTACACCAGTTACTACTGTCTACAAGCTGAAAACATAGTAGCGTGATTTTGTAAGGTAAATAAAATATCGCCATCCTCGGCAAGACATGGAGGTTTAACTGGTATCGACTAGTGTTCATATATTTAATATAAAAAAATATGAGGGTTTTTTCTCTATTGATTTCGTATGCATTGGTATTTATCAATGGCCACGTTCAATAACATAACTGAAAATCATTGTTATGTCTTTGCAATGCACACTATATATCAACTTAACTTACTGTCAGGTGTTTCAAATACTGCATAGGAATAGTCCATATCTGGAAGTGTAGCAAAGACAGTGATGTCAGAGTAAATTGTACATTAATAGTCACACAAGTGGGCATGGTTAATCTTCAGTATATTATAAGTTATCAATGCAAGAGAATAAAACAGTCTATATTATCTAACACTCCATTTGGCGTATAACTTATACATTCACAAACAGTGTTGAATTTGATTTATGCCATGGATATTGTGACCACGCTGGGACAAGTTGAATCTGGGTCTTCGTGCTTTAACACGTTAACCCCTCCACTCTTACAGGAGAATAAACTTGTTGATACCGTGATGATAGTGATACTTGTATTGCTGAAGTGAATTCAGTCTGAGATATACCCCTACCGTCAAAGTCCAGATACTTGACCCCTGCTGTCGGTCGTGGTCTGGTGATGGAGTGCTGCACCTCCACGTCAGAGCTGTAGGTGCTGGACAAATCCGAGTCTTCACTCTCGTTGGATGACATTGTGACTTCTGTGGGATAGCGCTCTTTGAGGGAATCTTCCCCCAATGACACAAGACAAACAGTGAAATCTTTTTCCTATATTCTCTTAAAATATTGGAAATCCAAGTGTCAAGCCAATCACTATGTTTTTCAACTTAATGTCAAGTACCCTGCATAGCTAAATATATTTGCATAACAACATTCATGAAAAAAGAAACAGTCACTGTATTCACTACACATCTTTTATCTGTGTGTTTAGATTGTTTTCGTTCTCTGTCTCCTTCTCATTGTTTGTATCCCTTTCCACGAAGGGAGCTGCCGGATTCTTCGTAGCCACTCAGTCCTTTTCATTCTGAATATACCATGTTTCTGTATTTCATAAATTCTTGGCCCCTGTTTGTCATAGAAGACAATTCCACCAAAGAACCTCACTGCTACTTCCAGTACACACTTGTTTCCCACGTCAGGTAGTCTATGGATTCCTATCTTGACGAGATCAGACGGTGGGTCACAAAAATGACCAGTGAAAGATAACACACACAGTTCCTCCTCTACCTTCCTGGACAGATCATCCTTAAGTTCTTCTGGATTATCAACCTGAAATCCGACAAAATGGGGAACTTTAGTCTTGTAACCATTCTCCGTGACCTCTCTTTCCTCTACTCCCACAAAAAACGATCCTCCACCAGGAACTTTAGAGAAAGACGTTATATTGTCCTTGAGTTTAAGATCTTCCCAAATATACTGCACATGTGAGATGTCATTCATTGGCCAGAACAGTTTCAGTTCAACATTCTGAGATTCTTGGTACAGCTGCAGCTTGTCTTGATCAATTCCCTTTAAAGCAGGTGCACCATGTGATGCCTCGTATCGAGAATGTGCCAGCAAGGAAACTAAATTAAAAGTTGTCGGATTTGTTTTTTCAAAGTCATTGCATATCTTGGTGTTAACATTTGCCGTCGAAATTCCACACGTGAGAGCTACATCTATCAATAAAACATCTTGATAGTTTTCAAAGCCTATTGTCTCATGCAACCATGTTGTGCGATATGTGTCCACATAGGAAGATCCACACTCAATCAAGTCCTGTAGAGTTTTGTCCACAAACTCGTGGAAGTACTCCAGATACCTGTCTCCCTCCTTCTGTCCGTGTAGGTGAACCAGCAGATGTCCCCCGAGCGTGTTCCTGAGAGCTGACACTTTCTTCTCTATGTCCTGGAGGATCTTCTTCTTCCCCTTCTTGACCTCCTTATTCCTTTTTGGACCTGTGATGATGCTTCTGTCTGCGTGAACGGTAAAGCTGTGTGGAGCAGAGCTATACTGTCTATATTCACGTTCAAGAGATGCGCAGGGTTGACACATATCTGAAATAATAATAATAATACAAATAATAATACTACTACTACTAATAATAATATTAATAATAATCCCAACACCCCTTACTCACCTCCTTTACATAGATGACCTTGAACTCAATTCCAATGGAGGATCTACACTAAAAAAACAGATTCTGCTTGTGGAGTCCTTTCCTAATGATATCGCCTTTGGACTCGACAAATGAAACATTCTTAATCTGAAACGTGGCAAGGTAGAAGAGTGAGGATCAGTAAGTTTACTTCCGTTGTTGAACTTCTCGTGGAAGGTCAGGCCTATAGTACTAAGGGATGCACATTAGTTACAAACTCCAGATTGCCCAGAAAGAAAATCTGGAGTTCAGATACTTATGCTGTGCCCGTCCCTTCGTTTTCTTTTGCTGTTGTTGATTGGACAAAACAAGAAATTCAGGGTATTGATACCCTCACACGAAGAATCATGCAAACAGCTTTTCCCTCAATCGCTTATATTTACCAATTATGATGGGAGGGTGTGGTTTGATTAATGTGGAGGCTCTTCATGAAAGAATTGTTTTCTGCACTTTTGCACACATTTATTTGTCCGACGATCCTATTGTGAAGCATGTCAAGACTCATGATGAAAACAAGACACTCCACAGTTTTCGTAAACGAGCCAAGGATGTGGGACATAATCTTAATTTGGGTGTTGATTTTGTTGATGGTTCTGTACTGCTGGGCGTTACAGAAATGAGTGTCACCCAAGCGAAGTACCATATCAAATCCGACAAGACTCAGATCTTCAAGGAGAGGAGAACGACCACTGCATCGAGTTTATGTGCAGTGTGTTGAGAAGGTAAGTAACCCTGCAGAGTCCTTTGCTTGGATAAAGTTGGTTGGCCTGAAAAGTAAAAGAGAAGGCTTTCTGCTTGCTGCTCAGGACCAGTCACTTCCCACTCGAAACCGTCGATGTGTGATGTTGCATCAAAATGTGAATATGCAATTTGGTTCGCTCAAGCAGTAATAGGTCATCTGAGCAAAAGGTGATCTGTAACTTAGGTGATATGGTGGAAGCCCATATATTAACAGACATGGGGTCAAAGCACGTGCTAATTAACACGTTTCTATATGCACAGACGGATAGCGACGCTGATTTTTGAACTTTAGTTAGGACACTGACGTTGGAAAAAAACCTTTAATCCGTTACCACGTTTAAGATAAAAGACCATAACTATAAGGTGTAATAAAGTCCCAAGTGATTTATTAGTCACCACCGTAAAGGTAACTTAAACCCCAAGGGAAATCAACATTTAACATACATCAGCAATGAAAAACAAAAACAAAAGTATGGTCCGTCCCTACATCTGGAAACTCTGTCACACGCTTAAACACCCACTTTCAAAGACACCCATGCAAACGGACACATTTATACTGTATACATAGCTTGTGCATCATATAAGGAACTGCCAACTCGGATAACGGAAAAGTTTTGGGCTATCCCCAAGAATGGGTGACTCTCTGCCCAATCCCAGTCATTTTGCAATGAGTGTTCCCTAGTTTGGTCAATAAGCTGAATAAAAATTGAATAAAAGTCATTTTACCCATGTTTGGATAATTCAGTTAGTGTTGAAGCACATGTTCAAGCACTAACATCACATCAAACATTTCAGAATTAGATAGTATGTGGGACTTGGACTGACTTTTCACAACACATCTCTGCCTGTGTTCCTCAGCCTTGGAGAGAGACAGTTTACACCTGTGCTGGCTGGACAGATTTGAATACCGCGTACTTTCAATCTCTGGAATTTCACCTTTTGTATAGACATTTTGCATTATGCAATTTTCGATTTTCATCACGTTGTATTTGTGGCAAATATTTTGCATTTCCAATGATGATTTGTTTGTCTGTGCGGAAAAGCGGAAAGCATTACTAGCATACCTGTATTAGCTTGTTGAATAATAATGGCAATGGGAACCTTTTTTGTTGGTTTAGTTGTTACTGTTTAAGACCACACTCAGCAGTATTCCAGCTTTATGACTGCGGTTTGTAAATAAGCGAGTCTGGACAGAGAATCAAGTGATTGATATCATGAACATTGATACACGCAAATGGGATACGATGACTTGCATGAACCAAGTCAGCGAACCTGACCATCCGATCCCGTTAGTCGCCTCTTACGATAATCATAGACAAGCACGGGTTGCTGACGACCTATTCCAACCCGGATCTTCACAGGTCTTGTCTCACACTTCCTCAGTGCATCGGCAACTTCAGGTGTTCCACTGTCAAATCGGGGGTTCCACAGACATATGAACATACAGACACATAGAGAAAATCCCAAGCTTGAATTCCTCTACAGGGGCCCCTAAGGTATGCATACAGCACCCACAAGGCTGGGCAGTTAAGGAAGCAACCATTCTTTTGGGAGCATCACACCGACATTATAGGAAGAGAAACTTCAAAGAATTACTGAAGAATATTATTGTTGAATGTTATAACAGACAGGTGACAAACAAGTCTCACCTTGTGACGATCTCCTTGTATTTCCAAGGTTTCCTTAATCTGAAGAACAAACCACATATGATTCTCGGTTCTGGTTATTAATATGTCCATTGAGGTACTTGGTGAATTGCCACAGAAAGGATATCAGGATGTATGTCCCAAACAATTGTTTGTACCCTGTATCGTTGAAACTCTTGAGTCACTTTGCACAATGTCGTTCAGTTGTTGTCTTCTCATTTACCCGTAGTCTGTGTCATCTACTCCTGCTCTATCGATTTTTGCGAAACATGTCGCAACTACGAGTAACCATCCAGTTGATTAGCCCTGTGAAATGTTTAAGCTGTCTAGTCAACGACTGCTAATCGATGCCCAAGAGTCGTGTTGTCAATTGTTGATGACGAATTTGTTCCCCTGTGTATTCCAGTGTTTGTGTGTGTATACATGCGCATCTCTCTCTCTCTCTCTCTCTCTCTCTCTCTCTCTCTCTCTCTCTCTCTCTCTCTCTCTCTCTCTCTCTCTCTCTCTCTCATGTTTGAGGGGTTGGATTATGTTTGATGTGGATGGGGTTGGGGAATGGGGGATGTCGGATGTGTGTGGGGGTTAGAGGATGATAGATGTGGGTGGGGTTGGAGGATGATAGATGTGGGTGGGGTTGGAGGATGATAGATGTGGGTGGGGTTGGAGGATGTTGGATGTTGGTTGGGTTGAGGGATGGAGGAAGGAGGATGGAGGATGCGGTGGTGTTGGAGGATGGGGGATGCGGTGGTATTGGGGGATGTGGGATGGAGGATGGAGGAGGAGATGGAGGTTGGGAAATGTGGGTAGGGTTGGAGGATACATGATGTGGTTGGGGTTTGAGGATGTATGATGTGGTTGGGGGTGGAGTATACAAATATATATGTAGGTGTGTTTGGGGATGAGGTGGGGTTTGAGGATTAGGGATGTGAGTGGGGGTGGGAAATGTGGTGGGATTGGAGCATACGGGATATAGGTACGGTTGAAGGATGTGCGTTTGACATGTATAAGAATCACCAAAACCCATTACACATTATTTTTTAAATTGTTTGATCTAACTTATTCAAAGCGTGTAGGTGTAGGAGTTGGGACATTTATTTTCAAAATATAGAGATTAAGTTTCAGTTTGAGAGTTATCAAGTTACACTGTGATAACAACACTCTTCAATAACAGAAATCAATTTCCGGGCTTGCTTTGCAACACTGTCAGGACTTCCATACCTTGGAAATGTGATGTGATGTGATGTAATGTTTGTTGTTAGAAAAGAAGCGAACTGAAACTAATCCTCCTGCGAGAATTATTCCAAATCATTATTATTTATGGTTTATTCATAGTAATAGGGCAAGAGGCCCAAGTACATAATCATATGTAAGATAGATTTACATTGTGACAAGAGACAAATATTACACTGTATTATTTTTCAGAATATAAACTTTTTTTTGATAAATGTTACAAGTTTCTTTAACCATGTGGTACTTCTTGTGTTCATAAAATTAGTTAAATTACGTTTATTTTCATATTCAGTTTGTACAAATCATGAAAGATTACTTCATAACTCATTAAATGCAGGGCAGCTAATCAGAAAATGTAGTTCATCATCTATTTCACCAGTATTGCAATGTTTACAAATTCTTACAGAATAATCTAATCCCTCTCGTCTTCCTGTATTATATCGTAATGGTTACTCACTTAACTGTAATAAGCATCAATACCGTCTTATTTTTCTACTCCTAAACACAGTGATCTAATATTCAGTACAGACAGTAGTGTTTATCTTGGACTAATATCGCAGTTTCCCAGAATCAAACATAGAAGCTTGAAGAGTCTGCCAGTTTCAATCTAAAAATCATTGCTGGAACATTGAAACAAAATGTTTTACACCCGACACACACTGTGCATTCCATACATCACCATTGAATTCCAAATCGATCCAATCTATTTTGACTTTTTCCTTTTAAGCTTTAAACATCATTCAGGCCCACAAAATCATTATAACCTGGGAAACGAGTACATCACTATAATAGTGTCGTATATTGAACAACAGGCTTGACAAACACTACCAGGTACCAACAACACAATCACATTGAATAACAGGTTTCAAATTCCCTGTGTCTCAGCGTTGCATGTTGGAATTATTCAGGTTCATGTCACCTCGACCTACTTCACGCCACGAACAAACGAACGTTTGGCTGTGAGAACCAAATGTCAATAAACGTACATATTGCTGTTTGCAACAAACAAAGTCGTTTCAAATGTTCAAAGAAGAAAGTTTGTAAGATAAACTTAAATACGACTAGGTAATAACTTGAACATATATATTTAATGAATACATTTGACAGGCTACATGCGACACTGTGAGGCTAATTGTTCACGATTTGCTGTCAATTACACCGCCAACAACCTTTGGAAGTGGCCACTCAAAGTAAACACAGGTTTTTACCGTTTTAGATCACACCAAATGAAAACATATCAGTATATGGATTTACAGACAATGAAAGGACCAGGAAACGATAGATGCAGACAGACAATGTACTTGAGTAACAGGCCGCTGGCTCATAATATACTCAACAACAAAAGTTCCTGTGACTCCAATATTTCCATGTATTTTTCAAATAAGTAAAGTTGGGTTTGCAATGTTGTAGTACATGTATGGAATCAAGTCATAAAAACGCAACTGCTACTGAAAAACATGCAAAAGTTGACTTTTATGCAAGCCCCATGCATTTCATTACCAAAGAATGGGTATAAAAACATGTGCGTTGACGGGATTCCATATGCATTGTTTGGCATCGTGCTGACAACAACCACTCAGAAAAACAACAAATTTATGCAATTAGTCAACATTACGAAATGCCACGCCTGTCCGAAAATGAGCGTCTGCGAGCCATTGGTATGCTTGAAACAGGATCGAGTCAACGTGATGTTGCAAGACAATTTAACGTCCACAGAAACACCATTTGGTGTTTATGGCAACGTTGGCAAAGAACGAATGCAGTCAGAGACCATCCAGAGATATATTTTTCTTCATCATTTTATCACTCTTTCTATCATTCTGACAATACACCTTTTTCAATATCAGTAAATTCCCTGTCTCATTCTGGTGGTAACAAGACATACAATGTCGTACTGGATATACAATATGACACAAGATATCACTGTAACACTAGATAAACAATATGACACAATATATACAATGTAATACTGGATATACAATGTAAGAAAATATGCAACGTAACAGAAGATATACAATGTAATACTGGATATACAATGTAAGAAAATATGCAACGTAACAGAAGATATACAATGTAATACTGGATATACAATGTAAGAAAATATGCAACGTAACAGAAGATATACAATGTAATACTGGATATACAATGTAAGAAAATATGCAACGTAACAGAAGATATACAATGTAATACTGGATATACAATGTAAGAAAATATGCAACGTAACAGAAGATTTACAATGTAATACTGGATATACAATGTAAGAAAATATGCAACGTAACACAAGATATACAATGTAATACTGGATATACATTGTAACAAAATATCCAATGTAACACTAGATATACACATAACCACCTTTCTGGGTACCCCAAACTTTTATGATACAAAGAGTGAGTGAGTGAGTTGGGTTTAACGCCGCTTTTAACATTATTCCAGTTTTATCCGGCGTGTCAGCTAAATGTTAGAGGAAAGTGATGCAGGTCTCAGACGTTTACCACTTCGGCGAAACCCACGAGCACTGGTATGCTGCTGACAAACCTTGAAACATAATCATGGCAAACCGGGATTCGAACCCACAATCATAGGTTTCTGGTGTGCCCAAGGGAGGCAATTCTGCACGGCGAATAGCGGCGTCTCAGACAACTTGGCCACCCGTGCCCCCTGTTATACAGAGGAAGTGATTGAAGGTTGTCAAACAACCAGAAGTGTAACACAATATGTTATGAAATACTGGAAAAAAAGTGTCATTATTACAGTAAAGGGGGTCACTTTGTACAAAAACATATGTTTGAAGGTAAAACTTACTTAGCGTGTAACGGGATATATACAATGTATCAGGCTATACAATTTAACACGTGATGTACAATGTGACACAAGACATAGAAAGTAGCACTGGATATACAATATAACACGTGATGTACAATGTGACAAAAGACATACAAAGTAAAACGGAATGTATACACGTGTATTATTCATGTGGGTTGAATTGCAGGACTCCGTACTGGTTAAATGCAGATACTGCCAACAGAGGAATCAAATATACTCAACAACACAAATTCCTGTGACACTAGTATTTTAGTGTATTTATCAAACAAGAAAAGTTGGTTTCATTATTGTAGTATATGTATATGTACAGAAAAGCATGCATTCCATGCAAAAGTTGACTTTTGTGCAAGCCCCATGCATTTCATTACCAAAGAATGGGTATAAAACATGTGCATTGACAGAATGCCATATACATTGTTTAGCATCGTGCTGACAACAACCACTCAGAAAAAAAAGAAAATTACGTATTTTTCAACATTACGAAATGTCACGCCTGTCCGAAAATGAGCGTCTGCGAGCCATTGGTATGATTGTAGAAGGATCGAGTCAACGTGATGTTGCAAGACAACTTAACGTCCACAGAAACACCATTTGGTGTTTATGGCAACTTTGGCAACAGACGAACGCAGTCATAGACCATCCTCGGAGTGGCAGGCCATGCGCAAGGAATAATCAACAAGACAATTGGATTCGAACAAAACACCTACGAAATCGTTCCCAGCCAGCAACAGTGACTGCAAGAAGCATCCCGAATATCTTCACAAAACGTACGTCGTCGCCTCAGATGTGCAGGGATTGTCGCCAGAAGACCCGCCAGACGTCCCATTTTGACAGGAAACCACCGTCAATCACGTCTACAGTGGTGCAGACAGCGTTTACGCTGGACGGCCATGCAGTGGGGACAAGTTCTATTGACTGACGAGTCTCGTATTCACCGATGGACGGTTTCGAGTGTACCAACGTCGAGGTGAACGTTACGTCAATCATCGTGCCATGGAAGAAGATCGGTTCGGGGGCGGCAGCGTTATGGTACGGGGTGGGATTACAGCAAGACAGAGGACCCGTTTAATAGTGGTAGATGGAAATCTCAATGAACAGCGGTACCGCGACGAGATCGTCGGCCCTGTTGTTCTACCGTTTTTGCGTCGTCATGGTCCAGGCATTACCTTTCAACATGACAACGCCCGGCCTCATATTGCTCAACTTGTTTAGGATGCTCTTCAACGAAACAGCGTGAATATCATTCCCCTTGCCGGCTCGCTCCCCTGATCTCTCACATGTGGGATGAGATGGATCGGCGCCTTCGACGTCAACCACCTGTTCCACAGACACTCTAGGAACTTCAAAATATGCTCCAGTAGATATAGACAGATATCCCACAGGACTTTGTGCGACGCCTGGTCTATTCCATGATACGAAGATGTGTTGCTTGCATCACAACCAGAGGTGAAACACACACGCTATTGATTTGAAAATTGACATTTTGGCATGTTCATGTTTTTATATGAAATCACGCATTTTCTGAAGTCAGTATGGCAAATGAAACCATTTGAACACTTTCAGGAGTCTTTTATCTGTTTTAAACCGAAATTGTTTCAGATTTAGTAAAAATCATAACTTTGCATTAAATCAAATTCAATGTCACAGGAAGTTTTGTTGTTCAGTATATATATTCCCCATCAAATCAGTCTATAGTACCGTAGCTCACCAAAGATGGCCACATGACACAAGTTGCTGTCAGCTTTGACATTTTAATATTTCCTTCCTAAATACTGAGGACTTGCAACTAATACTAAATTCTATTGCTTGCCCGAAAATATGATTGCATCAAAAACAAAAGAAAACAGATGTTTTCTGAACCAGGACATCCATTTCCAGAGAAAAAAAGACCTAATAAAAGTGCAAAGGTTAATTCAAGGTAAACAATTTGAATAAAAAACAATATGTACGTAACACCACAAAAAATCGGACATGCATTTTGAGAGAATTTAGGTGCAGAGTCAAAGAACAAATGTCTAAATATACTCACACGCAGAAGAAACGCAAGTGGTTTTAAGCAAATAGGTAACAAACACGGAGCCATAAATTGATACGAGTTTTAGCATGTAGCCTGATGGTGTTATCAATGTTTTTGGATGCATTTTGGAAGCCCCGAGTAAAAACGCAACATAAAAAACGAATCGCCAAAACACACCATTTCAACGAATATGTGGGTATCATGCACCCATTTCTCGTGAAATCGAAAATGCTGTAGTGGGTATACAACTTCGGCCCATTCTTGGACCTACAACTCCTTGGTCAACAATGTCACGCCTAACTCATATTCAGAGAAACCAGGCTATCGGACGTTTGGAAGCTGGAGAGTCTGTCCAAGATGTTTCCCGTCATTTCAACGTTACCATAACCACAATTTAACATCTTCTGCATCGATACAATGCTACACAGACCACAGATGACCTTCCTCGGAGTGGTCATGCTAGGGTTACCACACCTCGACAAGATCGGCAGATTACCCGTCAACACCATCGACATCCGTTCCTAACTGCAAGTGAAAGTACTGGACAGACCATGGGAACACATAATCGACACATTAGCCGGGCACTGTGATCCGACGTCTCCGCTCCAACAACCTCAGATGTCGCCGACGAGCTTTCTGAATGTTGGTCAAGGTCGGGGACACGGCGTCACTGCTCAGCGGTATATCGACCAAGTGATCAGACCCCACGTTGTTCCATTTTTTGCACAACATCAACAACACATTTTCCAGCAGGACAACGCTCGTCCCCATATAGCCAGCTAACATGGCCATTCTGCAACAACACAACATCAGTGTTCTACCGTGGCCAGCCCTCAGCCCTGATCTGTACCCCATCGAACACTTGTGGTCCCTACAACTGCCGATGAACTACGCACAGCTGCTCTGGAAGTGTGCAGGAGGATCCCAAGGGCCTTCACAAATCGTCTGATCCACTCATTGTACAGGAGATGTGTGGCAATGATCAATGCTAATGGTGGTCACACCAGGTATTGTTGGACTTTTGGCTTTTGTCCCGAAACTGTGTAAGCCCCTAACATTTAAAAAAAAGTATATGTCATCTGCCTTTGAATCCATTAAACTGTCTTCAGAGAATTTTTTGGCAATCTTGCCAAATTATTTATTTCTTCTCTTTACTGTTGAACAAAGATAACATGTCTACTGCATACTCGACTTGCGTTTCTATTGCGTGTGAGTATATATTTTGTTACAAAAAAGGAACATATATGAGAGTCCCACTACTATCTACATATCTGTTGCATCATATATCATACTTTACACAAACATGTATGGTCATAAATACACTTGATAAAATGTGGTTCCTCCAGAGCAAAGTAAGGTGTCGCCACTGTGGCACCATCCATGTTAAGTTTTGTCTTTTTGAGGAGTTGATGTTTACAGAACATGTGGGACATTGGGGAGTATTATTGAGCAAGGTCAAATACAAAAGGTAAAATAATGGTCCAAACTTCAGATTCGTGGACAAACGTGACCACAAGAGGTTTTCTTCATTATGGTAAGCATGGGGACCGGATGACATCCCTTTGGACAAATTGTTGAGGACAAGCATGTCAAGTGTCAGGGCAGAGGTGGTGTTCATGGACCAGATGGACACACTTCTCACACTGCACCAAATTGCCTCAGAATATCAACCATTTCATCATTGTCTATCGCGATCTGCAGTGATGGTATCTGGATACTGCACCAAATTGATTAAGAAACTTAACCAACGAATGGTTGCGTTGTTTTTTTGCGATATCAAGTGATGTTCCGGCACAACCTGTTCTGTTGATGTCAACTATGTAATGAGAGACAATCCACTCTACAATCTGAACATTGCCTCCATCACAAGCCACATGAAGGATGTTGTCACCATTCTTATCCTTCACTGTCAGGTCACATCCTTTACTCACAAGTAGGTCAAACACTTCCTTGTGACCCTTTAACACTGCCCGCATCACTGGTGTTCTGCGCACATAATCTGCACTGTTGATGTCAACTATGTTATGAGAGACAATCCACTCTACAATCTGAACATTGCCTCCATCACAAGCCACATGAAGGATGTTGTCACCATTCTTATCCTTCTCTGTCAGGTCACATCCTTTACTCACAAGTAGGTCAAACACTGCCTTGTGTCCCTTCAACGCTGCCAGCATCACTGGTGTTCTGCGCACAGAATTTGTACTGTTGATGTCAACTATGTCATAACAGACAATGCACTCTACAATCTGAACATTGCCTCGATCACAAGCTGCATGAAGGAGGTTGTCTCTACACTTATCTTTAACTGCCATGTCACATCCTTCGATCACAAGTAGGTTAAACACTGCCTTGTGTCCATTCAACACTGCCCTCATCACTGGTGTTCTCCCGAGATAGTCTGTACTGTTGATGTCAACTGTGTTATGAGAGACAATGTACTCTACAATCTGCACATTGCCTCCCTCACAAGCCGCATGAAGGATGTTGTCACCATACTCATCCTTCACTGTCAGGTCACATCCTTTACTCACAAGTAGGTGAAACACTGCCTTATGACCCTTTAACACTGCCCTCATCACTGGTGTTCTGTCCACATAATCTGCACTGTTGATGTCAACTATGTTATGAGAGACAATGTACTCTACAATCTGTGCATTGCCTCCATCACAAGCTACGTGAAGGATGTTGTCACCATACTCATCCGTCACTGTCAGGTCACATCCTTTACTCACAAGTAGGTCAAACACTGCCTTGTGACCCATCAACGCTGCCCTTATCACTGGTGTTTCTTGAGATATATTTCTTCCATTGACGTCGGCTTTGTTTTGTGCAAAAATAGATTCGACTATATGTACATTTCCTCCTGTGCAAGCGAAATGAAGGATACTGGTTTTATCGTCATCCTTCACAGAGAGATCACACCCTTTGCTCATCAGCGTAAACATGTCAGCATCCCCACTTTCTGCTGCCCACATTGCTGCTGTTTTCCTATGTTTGTTCTGTACAAAGTCAACTCGTTTCTTCACAGACAAAACACATACAGCCAACTGGAGATTCCGTGTCTGAGCAGCAACAAGTACCACATCATTCCCATCATAGTCCTGTCTGTGTACATCAGCTCCGACAACGATCAGGTGCTGACAGATGTCTGCGTGTCCACTTAACGCTGCCACCAACAGGGGTGTTCTCCTGTCTCTGTTCACAGCATTTATGTCAAACGTCCCTGATGACAGGAGATGCTCCACTATAGCCTGGTTACCTCCCTTCGATGCCAAATGCAGCAGTGTGTTCTTGTCAGTGTCTACAACTGACAGATCTCCCCCTGTATTAAACAATGTGTCAAAAATGTGTTTATGTCCTCTCTCTACACAATACGACACAGGGGTTTTATGATATCTGTCTGTCTCGTTTACATCCTTATATCCCACATCCTGTACAATACCCAAGTTTCCCCCTTGACTGGCGTAGTGAAGAACTCCACGTGTCTTTGTATCCTTTAATGACAAGTCACACTGTTTTTTAGTTAGAAACTGAAAAATGATTTTGTGTCCTGAAGCTGCTGCTAACATCACTGGAGTCCTCCCGCTTGCATCCCTCGTGTTGATGTGGACCTTGCCCTGTGACAGGAGGAACTCTGCCAGCTCCACGTTCCCTGTTTCTGCTGCTGTGTGAAGCAGACCAATCGCCTCCAGAAGTAACATGTTGAGGCAGTCACCAACATGTCCATAAGAGAGTGTCTCCGACATGCTGAAGTCCTCAGGAGAGATGTGACAGTTCTGTGACAGAAGTAACTGAAACACATCTCTGTGGCCTCTGCATGCTGCAATCATCAGAGGTGTCTTTCCATACTGGCCTCTGTGGTTGATGTCAAACAACTTACTAGACATCAGATGTTTGACAACCCGGACACTACCGCCCTGACATGCCAGATGTAGGATAGTATCACCGTTATCATCAACACCAGTCAGGTCACACTTCCCTTCATCTGCCAGATACTCATACAGCTGACCATGACCTTTCAGTGCAGCCATCATGACTGGTGTTCTCAAGTCCTGTCCTGGCAGATTCTTCCAGACCTCCACGTGGGGAAGCAGTAACTTAACAACATCTGTATATCCCCTCAAACAGGCCAGATGGAGGGCAGAATTTCCGACTTTGTTCATGATCAGACACTCTGCATCATCTTTCAGTAAGATGTCGACCATGTTGGCATTATTCCTGTCCACAGCCATCATAAGAAGAGAGTTTCCATTAGCATCTGTATCGTTTGGTGTATAGGTGATATCTCCCCTCTGTAGATCCAGCAGCTGCTGCCGTAAATACAGGAAGGACTTGGTGTCTTGTAGTTTGATACAACAAGCTAGTTCCTCACTGACATGTACCTGTGACAGTTCCTGTTTCTGTAACACCTTCTGACACAGGTAATCATTGCCAGACTGTAGGACCCAGTACAAGAAGCACCTTAAACCAGTGGAAGAACCAGCTGTATCCTGTAAATATAGAACATTCACAAAACTGTCCCCGAGCTGTGTCAGGAACCTGTCTATGTTGTCCTCCCTGCTGAGAACTGGGTGACGGAATGTGTGTCTGAACTTCCCTCTCCTTGTGTCTTCTACCAGCTGTGTCAGAAACATGTTTGTGTTGTGACTGGAGATGACGATGGTTTTATCAGGCAAGTCTGTGAGATACTGTTTGTTGTCAGTTTCATATAAAACTTTGCAGTGTTTCCATAGAACTCCAGGAAACATGCTGTCAACAACAAACATACAGGCGTCATATATGACAGGCTCTGTGAAACTAATATCGTCGCCAGACTGACATAGATAGGTGGCACACAATCTGTGTAACATGTCAGGAAGATCATCTGTTCTTAATTCGGGAAAGAGAGACTGAAACTCTCTCGAACCATCGATATAATAACCACTCTGATCACGCTCATCACTTTCATCACTGTTATAGATATATGGATATGGATAGTAGTCTGCCACTAGGTTCCCAGAAACCAAGATATATATCATTGTAGCAGAATAATCAACATTTCTAAGTAATGTTTCTATTTCTTTTCTGAATTGGGAATGTGGATATGCGAAAAATGATACAGGATCTGTGGTAGGTCTGTCTTGAGAGAAGTGTTTGATGACCTTGGGGAAACCGACATATGAAGGAAGGTTAGCTATAATCTCCTCCCGTGTGTCTGATGGAATGTCTGTCTGCATCTCCAGCATCTGGGAATATTCCTGCTTTGTTCTGTCCAAGTTCTGTCTTCCTATCTGTGTTATGTCCGTCTTTCGATTGAACGTATCTCGTTTGCAGTTCGCGTATATAATAAGAACACAAACAAGCTTGTTGGTATAAGTTTTGTTGTGTATCTCTTTGACAAAGTTTGAATATACCCAGTGATCTGCCATGTCATCAATCACCACCAGTGTCGGTTTAGTTGCCTGGAATACATCCCTGTTGAAGTGCTCCCATCTGCTGCAGAAGACTGTGTTGTATCCTTGTTGCTGGTAGTCACAACACAGCATGTGTCCTATTGTGGTCTTACCTTCCCCAGGACCACCAGTCAGCATCACCAGGTTGTGTTGTTGTAGCTTGTCTCGGACTTCCTGGTAGGCAGCTGTCTTCACAAATAATCTCTCCCAATCTGAAACATATGGGCTCATTTGTCAAAAGCTGAAGACAAAATAACATATACACATACTCATAGCGATACAACCACAGATACATGAAGTAAAATAACATACAGAAACTGTATCTATTCATAACAGCAACACTCCAGAATAAACACTTTTACAATCCAAATTGTAACAGTTACTTTATTGTCTACGTGCTTATCTTGATTAATCCCTACATTCATTAATGTTGTGACGAGTATTGATTCAACATTCCATATCTAACATGCAGCACCCATGCATGCTTCGAAACGTCAGGAATCCTGTTGGAAAATGGATCACATGTCAAAAGCCGAAGACAAAAATAACATACACATTATAATATTCTTGTAAAGATATAACCGCTGAACAACCACAGAACAACCACTTTTATGATTCTGTGACGAGTATTAATTAAATATTCCGGATCTAACACGCATCGTCAAAGCTAAACAATTGTCCTTTAAAGGAGAAAGTGTATAGTATTACTGTTTGTAAATCAGATATTGAGAGTCAAATTCTACCTGTGAGTTTTCTTGATGGCCTTTGATGCTGAGTCATCGTCCTGAATATGTCAACCATCTTCCCATCTCTGGAAGTCAAGGACTGATGTACAGACACATGCGCTGCAGTTGTGTGAAGTTGCTGGATCCTGGTCAGGAAGTTCCGAGAACTTTTGTATATGTCTGGCGATACGACGCCATGAACGGGGTGAAAGTTGGTGCAAGTTCTGCTCCTGACAGCGACCGTCAGAGCCCGGGCCTGTGTGGAGTTGTAAAGAACAGCGTCAGGCTCATCTCTGGAAACAAACGTTAGGACGAGAACCACTCCGTCTGTCTTAAAGATGTAGGCGTCGCAGATGACGCTGTGTGGAGCTGGCACCTCCTCCTCTGGCTCCAGGAACGTCAGTGTAGGGGAGTTGATGTAGACGAAGTTTAAATCAGGTATGGATCTCACAGATGTTAAAATATCCGGCCTTACAAACAGCTTCACGTCTATTGGGTGAATGCAGTCTGCAACTGTTATAAAGACAATGCAATGAAAACATGCTGACATTTTTCCGAAGGGTCACTTCATTTGCACCTGATTTCAGTTGTGTAATAATCACTGACCAGCTGTTGTAATACTATTGTAATAACCTTATTTATCATATAAAGCTGGCTACCTCATGATACATCTCTTGAGTCTCCAAGGAAATATTGCTATTATGACATCGCATCACAATGCTTTGCCGACCATTGTGTCATTGGTTGCCATGATCTCACAACGAAATGACATCACCAATCGTTCTGCTACTGAACTAGTTAGCTGTACTTTTTACACTGGTTACTACTGTCTACAAGCTGTAAAACATGGAAGCCTGATTTTGTTAGTTGAATAAAATATCACCATCGTGACTTTTATCTCCTTATTTTGAGGATCAACTGTTATCGACTTGAGTTCATATATTTGATATAAAAAGACACAAGGTTGTTTTTTCTCTATTGATTTCGTATGCTTTGACGTCCATTACATAACTTTTACTTACTACTGCCAGGTGTGTCAAATACAGCATAGGAAAAGTCCACATCTGGAAATGCAGCAAAGCCAGTTATGCCAGAGTAAATTGTACATTACTGGTCACACAAGTAGGAATGCACACGATTAATTGATAGTATATTATAAATTATCAGTGCAGAGAACAAACAGTCTATATTTTCCGCCAAAACATTTCAATTGGCATATAACTTATACAATTTGATTTAAGCCTTGGATATTGCGGCCACGTTGGGGACATGTTGAGTCTGGGTCTTCAGGCTTTAACACGTTAACCCCTCCACTTTTACAGAAGAATAAACTTGTTGATATCGTAATGATAATGATACTTGTATTGCTAAAATGAATCAGTCTGAGATATACCCCTACCATCAAAGTCCAGATACTTGAGTCCTGGTGTCCTCTGTGGTCTGGTGATGGAGTGCTGGACCTCCCCGTCAGAGCTGTAGGTGCTGGACAAATCCGAGTCTTCACTCTCGTTGGATGACATTGTGAATTCTGTAGGATAGCGCTCTTTGATTTATATGATAAAGTCTTTTCCCAAAGACACAATCACTATCTGTTCCAACTTAATGATAAGTACCATGCATAACTAAATATATTTGCAATAAAGGCTTGCATAAAAAATAAGAAAACAGTCACTGTATTCACTGCACGTCTTTTATGTACGGGAATAGATTATGTTCTGTGTGTTTAGATTGTGTTCGCTCTCAGTCTCCACCTCATTGTTTGTATCCCTTTCCATGAAGGGAGCTGCCGTATTCTTCGTAGCCACTCAGTCCTTTCCATTCTGCATATTCCATGATTCTGTATTTCATAAATTCTTGGCCCCTGTTTGTCACAGAAGACAATCCCACCAAAGAACCTCACTGCTACTTCAAGTACACACTTGTTCCCTCCACCAGGGAGTCTATGGATTCCTATTTGGACAAGATCAGACGGTGGGTCACCAAATTCACCAGTGAAAGATAACACACAAATTTCCTCCTTTACCTTCCTGGACAGATCTGTCAGAAGTTCCTCTGGATTATCAACCTGAAAACCGACAAAATGGGGTACTTTAGTCTTGTAACCGTTCTCTGTGATCACTCTTTCCTCTACTCCCACATAATATGACCCTCCACCAGGAACTTTAGACATAGACGTTATATTGTCCTTGAGTTTAAGATCTTCCCAAATATACTGCACATGTGAGATGTCATTCTTTGGACAGAACAGTTTCAGTTCAACATTCTGAGATTCTTGGTACAGCTGCAGCTTGTCTTGATCAATTCCCTTTAAAGCAGGTGCACCACGTGATGCCTCGTATCGAGAATGTGCCAGCAAGTAAACTAAATTAAATGTTGTAGGGCTTGTGTTTTCAAAGTCATTGCATATCTTGGTGTTAACATTTGCTGTTGAAATTCCACATGTGCGAGCTACATCTATCAATAAAACATCTTTAATGTTTTCAAACCCTGGTATCTCATGCAACCATGTAGTGTGATATGTGTCCACATAGGAAGATCCACACTCAATCAGGTCCTGTAGAGTTTTGTCCACAAACTCATGGAAGTACTCCAGATACCTGTCTCCCTCCTTCTGTCCGTGTAGGTGAACCAGCAGATGTCCCCCGAGCGTGTTCCTGAGAGCTGACACTTTCTTCTCTATGTCCTGGAGGATCTTCTTCTTCCCCTTCTTGACCTCCTTATTCTTTCCTTGACCAGTGATGATGCTTCTGTCTGCGTGAACGATAAAGCTGTGTGGAGCAGAGCTGTACTGTCTGTATTCACGTTCAAGAGATGAGCAGGATTGACACATACCTGAAATAATAATAATAATAATAATAATAATAATAATAATAATAATAATAATAATAATAATAATAATTTCCAATATTGTCTATGAAGAAACTTTCACGATATGATTCTTTTTCAAACATATTGCGATTCAACATATCCAATTTGATAACAGTTAGTACTTAAACTATTATGCATAAATTTAACCTGGATCCATCTTAATTCAGAACTTTGTGTACACCAGTTTGCCATAAGGTTAAAGTTTGCCCACCCTGTATCTGTATAAGAACATCGACCCATTTACTGTTTTATGAAGTTAGGGTTTAATTGGGCTTCATAAAATGCATACCTTTTAGATGGTTTATTTTTCATACATTAATACTTTGTATCAAATCATGTTGCTTAGGGTGAATTCTCGTATCAATATTCTTCCATAATCCATCTCATGGAGAATACAAAACAATATTGAAGTCCCCACCGAAAGTAAAGTCTTAGATGTTTGGACTTATGATAAAGAAATTGCTTACATCCGCGAAAAGTGTTTTCTCTGAACGTGATCATTTGGGACCATATATACCTGCTATGTGTGTCGCTTGTAACAATGATAATCAATTAATAGATAAAGGAATCTACCTCATCCATCACTGGCTGCGTACAGAATATATATATATATATATATATATATATATATATATATATATATATATATATATATATATACGTATACATATATATTAGGCTTATTCAGAAACATAGTGACATTGGTTCCATGCAAAAATTCAGTATGGTAGCTCAAATGATTTGTTCAAATGTTTTATCTACCTTGGTTGTAAGTCAGTCACAAACAACATAAGATGTCTATTGCTGAAGTCACCATTAAGTGACATAATCCTAAATGGTTATAAGTGGAAAAGGAAAAAATATTAAAAAAACATTCAAACCGTTAATTTTCAACAAGCCGTGGCATTTCGTAAGCTACATTAACAGTTAAACAAAAGTTGTTAAATGAGCACATGCTGTTCACGTTCGAAACTCACCAAATGTGAATCGCGACCTTAAAGTCGAGGAGATGTCTTGATGGACATATATTTTATATTGAACATTGCATTATGCATAGCTACTTATTTTCCCGTTAGTATACACGGTTGTCTGCCCCAACCAGTAAACACGTTCTGATCAGTTATCCAGTGAATAGGAGATATTATGTAGATATTTTGCTTGTTTCAGGAAATGTACCACCAAATCCTTGTCTCAAAGATTAACCATAATTTACAACACAATCAAGGAAGGACTTGGTACATATTCGCAAAACGTATTTGAGACAATTGGATAATACCATGTCGATTATTAAAACTTGAAAGGATTATAATTTATTTACATATTTTATTTTAGGTCATCATGTTGGGTTTTATATATATTTCTTTGACTTATAGAATCCATGAATCTTCTGCGACCAAAATGGGTTTTATCTTATTCTGTTGGCATTCGTTTGCATCCAGAAACGAGTTAATTCTGTACATACAGAATTACGACGTGGAAGGAAATGGTTGTGCATACGTCGCGTATCAACATTGCAAATAGTAAATGGGTCTATGTATTCCAGGGCAGAATGCCTGATTGATCTGGATTAGGTCAGAAGTCCAAATGAGAAGGTTGTTGTGGGTCCTGTTCTATATTTCTTATCGCTGCTACAGATGGGTATTTACAGCAGGCTGAACAAGAGCTGGTCTTGGACAAGTGTTGACTGGGATGGATTATCTTGAGATTTCCAAGGCAGAAGATCAGTAAATTGGATTCTCCACTAGGAGTGAACAAGAAAAACATGTGTTTTTCATAGTCCGTAACCAAAACACAATTCTTTCCTGCAAGATATGTATTCCTTGTATGAAATTATATTTACGTTACATGGGCTGTGCTTTATTGCTTTCAAAATCGAAACTAGGTGGGATAGAAATCCGTATATTAACTTGTGACGGTCGCTTTCAGAAGCGTAGAGCTTGTCAGTTGGGTGTATAAAAAAATGTCATTGTCACTCTGCATTGAAACTGGGTGATTTCGACATGGACATATGAGTTCATAATAGTGATAAACAGAAAACATTTTCAAAATTATACCCACCTAATCTTTTACGTTTACCGGATTTGTTCAATTAAAACGACTTGAAAATGTAGTCTCTCTTTGGAGACTCATTCATTAGGGATCCTTCATGTATTAATTAATGATGAAGCTTCTGATACAATACAAAAAAAGGACTAATAAACTAAGGTTGATCGATAAAGACATAAACTCGCAAATTCCTAATATTGATTTTTTCAAGAAGGAATCTCACTAAAAAAAACAATTCCACCATAAAATTTCAAACTTGATAAGGTGGAAACATTTCCCAATTGATGATTGTCCTAAACCAAATACAGTTCTTACATGTGCTTTTGTAAGTCTACAATATCTCTTTTCTATTAAGTTATGATAGTCGCCTTCAGAGTGTGCCACATTTGCCAGATTTGTCACTGTGCTTTGCAATGAGATGATTTTGACATGGTTATGAGAATTCATAATTGTGACAAACAGACATTATCTTCACAGTTATGCCCTCCTGATCTTTTATTTCTATCAGAGGTTGAGGACTCTTCCACAGTTATCAATTAATGATGACGTTTTAGTATAAAGACATCAAAATTACAAATAATTACTTCTTTCACTTCACT